CAACAAGAACAGGAACAGGAACAGGAACGCAGGTTTCCAAGATACAGGGGCCAGAAAAAAACACACACCACCTGCAGAGACTGCAGGTTCGGGCCTTCCCTTAAATACACCTGCATGATCAGGTTCAGGTGTTTGGCTGGCGTGCAGGGTTTGAGTCTCCTGATTGCTGGGAGCAACCCGCTGGCCAGCCCCTGGTACTGCAGCCCACAAGGCAGGTGAGTCCCACCAATTTACTGGCAAGATATCCATTCCTGACAGCACCAAAAATGCAGGCAATAAATGACTTTCACTTTAAATACATCAGAATCATATACTATAACTGTCTCTTTTTATAAAAAAAAGTCTGTATTCTCATCTGAGCACAAAATGCCTCTTGCAGAAACCTATGTGAGTTATAAAGGAAAGCTCTGACCTTTAATTGAAAAGCAGGATACCGTGATCTGAGGGTTTGCAGAAACAAACGTCAGTCTTAAAGGAGACTTTTCTTGAAAGCAGTGACTTGCGATGCTCTGCGGTGACTTTGCAATGCTCTGTCAGTGACTTGCGATGCTCTGCTGTGACTTTGCGATGCTCTGCGGTAACTTGCGATGCTCTGCGGTGACTTTGCGATGCTCTGCGGTAACTTGCGATGCTCTGCGGTGACTTGCGATGCTCTGCGGTGACTTTGCGATGCTCTGCGTGAACTCTCTGAATGCAAACACGTGGGCTCTTGATGGATAGCGGTGCGGGCACTCTAGCTCTGGACTGTGGCCCTCCCCCCCATGCATCTCTTTCTCTCTCGGGGTGCAGGAGGTTTGGCGCTCTTTCTCTGACTGTCTTGCCTTTGCCGTTATGCCACTTTAAGAGTCGTCTCGCAGTCTGACTAATGCCCACGCGCTGTGGCCTGTACTGTTCCACTGAGGTGTCTCCGCGTGGCGGTATATGATGGCGCTCTATTTCTCTAGTGTACTCTTTACTGAGCAAGTTGAGGAGCGCTGCTGCTTGACCTCTGAGGGTAATAGTTCCACTGTTGGCAGGCGCAGCACCCTTTGGTGCCTAGTGTGCTGTGGGATTAGAAGAATGATGCAATTGCTGATTCTTTGTTTGATTTGGACTGACTTTACTCTGTAATTCCTCCAATGCCGCTCTATGGATGCCGTAGGTGTAAAGAGCACCGAATACTTTAGTTAACTTCTTTAACCACTTCCAAGTCCCCAGACACTTTCCCCCCCTTCCAGTCCGGACACTTTCACCCCCCTTCCAGTCGGGGACACTTTCCCCCCTTCCAGTCTGGACACTTTCCCCCCTTCCAGACCGGCACCACACTTTCCCCCCTTCAGTTTGGACACTTTCCCCCCTTCCAGTACGGGGACACTTCCCCCCCTTCCAGTCCGGACACTTTCACCCCCTTCCAGTCCGGACACTTTCCCCCCTTCCAGTCATGGACTCACTTTTCACCTCCCTTCAAGTCCGGACACTTCACCCCTTCCAGTCCGGACACTTTTACCCCCCTTCCAGTCCGAACACTTTCCCCCCTCTTCCAGTCCGGGACACTTTCACCCCCCCTCCAGTCGGACGCTTTCCCCCCCTTCCAGTCCGGACACTTTCACCCCCTTCCAGGTGACCGGATACTTTCACCCCCTTCCAGTCCGGATTACTTTCACCCCCTTTCCAGTCCGGACACTTTCACACCCTTTCCAGTCCGGACACTTTCCCCCCTTCCAGTCCGGACCTTTCCCCCCCTTCCGTCCGGACCACTTTCCCCCCTTCCAGTCGGACGGGGGGGTTTCCCCCCTTCCAGTTTCCGGACACACTTTTCCCACCCCCTTCCAGTCCGGACACTTTCGCCGCCCCCCGGACAATTTCCCCCCTTCAAGTCCGGACACTTCACCCCCTTCAGTCCCGGACACCTTTCCCCCCTTCCAGTCCGGACACTCTTTCACCCCCCTTCCAGTCCGGACGCTTTCCCCCCCTTCCAGTCCGGACGCCTTCACCCCCTTCCAGTCCGGACGCCTTCACCCCCTTCCAGTCCGGGACACTTTCTCCCCCCCCCCTTCCAGTCCGGAACGCTTTCCCCCCCTTCCAGTCCTGGACGCCTTCACCCCCTTCCAGTCCGGGACGCCTTCACCCCCTTCCAGTCCGGAGGACACTTTCCCCCCCCCTACCAGTCCGGACACTTTCCTTCCCCCCCTTCCAGTCCGGTAACGCTTTCCCCCCCTTCCAGTGCCGTTGGGCACACCCCGAACACTTTCCCCCCTTCCAGTCCGGACGCTTTCCACCCCCCCCTCCAGCGTCCGGACGCTTTCCCCCCCCTTCCAGTCCGGACACTTTCCCCCCCAATTCCAGTCCGGACGCTTCCTTCCTCCCCCCCCTTCCAGTCCGGACACTTTTACCCCCTTCCAGTCCGGACACTTTTACCCCCTTCCAGTCCGGACACTTTCACCCCCTTCCAGGTCCTCAGACACTTTTACCCCCTTCCTGTCCGGACACTTTCCCCCCTTCCTGTGTGGACACTTTCACCCCCTTCCTGTCCGGACACACTTTCACCCCCTTCCTGTCCGGACACTTTTACCCCCTTCCAGTTCCGGACACTTTTACGCCCCTTCCCTGTCCGGACACATTTTACCCCATTCCAGTCCGGACACTTTCACCCCCTTCCAGTGCTGGACACTTTCCCCCCTTACCAGACCGGACACTTTCCCCCCTTCCCAGTCCGGAACACTTTTACCCCTTCCAGTCGGACACTTTTCCCCCTTCCAGTCCGGACACTTTCCCCCTTCCAGTCCGGACACTTTCCCCCCCTTCCAGACCCGGACACTTTCCCCCCTTCCAGTCCGGAACACTTTTACCCCCTTCCAGTCCGCGACACTATCCCCCCTTCCAGGTCCGACACTTTTTACCCCCCCCTTCCAGTCCGGACACTTTTACCCCCTTCCAGTCCCGGACACTTTCACCCGCCCTTCACAGTCCGTGACACTAAGTTTCACCCCACTTCCTGACCAGGGCAATTTTCAGCTTTTAGCGCTACAACACTTTGAATGACAATTGCGCGGTCATTGCAAACCACTGTACCCAAATTTATTTTTACCCATTTTTTTGAGATAGATAAAGCTTTATTTTGGTGGTATTTATTCACCACTGGGATTCTGTGTATTTTTTTTGCTATGTAAATGAAATGTCCAAAAAATTTTTAAAAAAGTGTTTTTTTTTATAAATTTTGCAAATAAAAATAATAATTTCATCATAAATCTTAGCCAAAATTTATTCGTTTATTTTTTAGCGTAAAAAAAAAAAAAAAAAATCCAAATTAGTTTTATAAGCAAAAAATTATAATTTTTAAACATTTTTTTTTACATTTTATTTTATTTTTTTATATTTTATTTTTTTTTTATTTTTTATTTTTACATACTGTCACCCTAGACAGTGTAGGGTCACCATGGTGACACTGTTACTACTTGTGGAGGGGTGATAAAGACTTTTTTTTTTTTTGTTTACATCATGATTGCTTTTACACCCCATTTTATAGGATGTAAAAGCAATCATTTCATCTTTCTCTCTCTCTCTGCATTCTCTGCAGTCATTGATAGAAATAACAGAATAGTGAGACATGTGAATGGTCGAAAGCTTGTCACATGTACATCCTACACAGTAAGGGGCATTTTGCGGTGAATCAGCCCCTGAGTACCATGTGACCTCTGTCGGTGACGTCATTCACAGATTTCACACATAGTAAGCAATGATGTCACCAAAGTGTGAACATCTCTTGTCTTCCACCCTACTTCCCCTTTTGCACATCGTCCGATCACTGATTGGCCAATCACGTGATCACAATCGATCGGGACCACCTCGCGTACAGAGGTCCGTCCGACCTCGAGAACTCGGTGTTTCACTGTGTCCGCCGAGCTCTTTGGAATCTCATCTTGAGAGTTGACTAGCAAACAGATTCCAAATGCAAATAACACACTTGAAATGAAACTCTTGGACCTTTTATCTGCTCATTGTAATTGGGATAATGACAGGGAATAAACACACACCTGGCCATTGGAACAGCTGTGCAGAAGCCAATTGTCCCATTTACTTTTGGTCCCTTAACTAGTGGGAGGCACATATGCAAACTGTTGTAATCTCCTACACCGTTCACCTCTGATTTGGATGTAATTACCCTCAAATTAAAGCTGACAGTCTGCAGTTAAAGCACATCTTGTTCGTTTCATTTCAAAGTCCATTGTGGGTGGTGTATAGAGCCACAAAACATGAATAGAATTGTGTCCATGTCCCAATATTTATGGACCTGACTGTATATACTGTACTGAGGGTATTGGCAGGTTTGGTATACACATATATGTGAACCATATTAGTAACCTAGGACTGGTCTTAGCTGGCCAGCTACACTTGGGATAAGCTCATCAGCAGTAGGTCTCTTCAGCAAGTAGACTTGCTGAGCAATCCAGGATATACAAACCACCGATGGTGGTCAAAAGCTGGAATTTTGCACCTGTCCTTGAAGGACCACCTTTACAAAAAATTGGTTGGCCAAAATTTCATTCAGGGATAGCAGCAGTTATGTTATCTTTTTCAAATGCTGGTATAGGCAATGACCTACCTCTTAGATGGCAGTATGGCCACTTGCTGACTTGGTATAATCCACAGACAGCTTTCACTCTTCAAAGAAAACGCACAGAAGTTGGACCCGGTGATGTTTTGCTGCAGATGAGTGCAATTTGAATGGTGTTTTTCCAATCTTTTTAGTGTGAGACAGTGGGGGGGGGGGCAGAGTTGCTAAAACCGGTGCATTGGGATCTAGGCTTGCAGCTGTGTGTGGTAGCCAATCGGCTTCTAACTTCAGCTTGTTTAATTAAGCTTTGACGATGAAACCTGGAAGCTGATTGGCTGATTCTGGTTTCTATGAAAGGTGAGGGTTTGGCAAGGTTTGATAGCTCATTTAGTCCAGGGGGGTGTAGAGTAGAGGAACACTATGCTTATTCTTTTGTTTCCCAAAGCTCTGTTGCTATTGGTGGGGGCGGGGAGCTTGGTGTCCTCATGTGCAATGCATAGGCCTTGGGTCTGCAATTTTATGCGATGAACTAGGGAACCTGCAACCAGGGTGTGGACTGACAACTCATGGGGCCCCCCCAGGCAGTAAGGGATCAAGGTGGGCCCCCATGTCCTTGCCCACACTCAAAAAAGCCTATCAAAAAGGTACCCAGGTGCATTTCATGGGTCCTGTCAGGATAAGGACTAGCCAGGCAATGGTGGGACTCACCTGCCTTTTGATCTGCAGTACCAGGGGCTGGGCCAGCGGATGCTCCCAGCAGATCAGAGACTCAACTTTGCAGCCAGCTAACACCTGGAACTGATTATGCAGGGAGGTATTTAAGGGATGGCCAGACCCACAGGGACTCTCGCCTTGGTGTGTGTTTCTCTTGGGCCCTGTATCCTGTTCTCTGATCTCTGTTCCTGTCCTGATTCTCTGCTACCTGTTCTGGATCCCTGGCTTGTCTGACCATCCCTCTGCCTGACCCTCTGTACTACGCTGCCTGCTACCTGTTCTGATCCCTGGCTTGTGACCCTGGACCATCCCTCTGCCTGACCCTCTGTCTACGCTGCTAGCTACCTGCAGACCTGCCTGTTGACCCGAACCATTCTCCGCTTGCTCCCCCTGTACCTACCCTGCCCTATTGAATTGACTCCGGACTCTGCCTGACGACGCTTGCTTGTATGTACTCGTTATCTGTGGGTGGTTTGGTTTGGTTTGGTTGCACTGTATTATGTTTAGTATTGCACTGCGTAGTTTATGTTTGTATTGTTAGTGTTAATAAATTACATTGTTAACACACATATCTGAAGTCTGCGTTTCCTGCGTCAGTCACACATCTCTGGTCATACCTGGGAGCCCTGACATTACACCAAGGCCCAATCCTGACCAGAACGTGGCTGCACAGGGGAAGCCATCTTGCGCTTGTTTGATGGGAAGGATGGATCTGGATGAGGTTGAATATTTATATCTGCTATGTGTTTTGATGACAGAGAGTATGCTTATCAAACTCTGAAGGAGTATCCCCAGGGATTGAATTGCTAGAATGTATACGGCTCGCCTCATGTGTCTAGTAGATCAGGGCACTCAGAGTTCTCTGATGTGCAGCCTTTGATTGACGGCTCTGTGTGCGGAGTTGGTTTCATTCTGGTTACCCCGAAATGCAGGGATGAATTTTTGCCACCATTTAGTGCAGACCCTCCAGGTAGAGTCCCTGGTGTGGTTAATTAGAGGATGATGTGGCGGTTACTTTCTCTGGAGCGTTATTCCACATGTTCACCACAGACACTGAGAGATTGTATAAACGCAGTGCAGTCATTGACAGACAGGCTTTGTGTAAGTTCTCAGCTTTGAGTTCAACCCCTACTGTCAGACATGGACAGACATGTTGCAATACCAGCCTCAGTCAGCTTACACAAAGACCAGTCCTGCTTCTAACTCTACTTCCTGTATTCCCACCAGCTCCTCCAGTTACAGCCCAGTATACTTGTCTATCTACCGCATGTCAGTACCCTGTTCCCACTCGCTGCACCTATCCTGCCTTTTAACCCCCTGTAAAGAAGCCCTCTGTAGCAACTGCTCCCTCTCCTGCGTTCCATCCTCCATGTTCTTCTCTGTCTCCAGCTGCTCCATTCGTTTGCAGACCTGCGTTTACTTGCAGTGCTCCAGTAGTTAAAACCAGAAAAAAGCGAAAATTCTTCTTCCAACCAATACCATCCTGCCAGTATCCAAACCGGTGAGCCTGCCTTCCGTGACTCAGCCTGAAGCCTACTACTCAGCTCTGAAGCATCTACTCAGACTGATGCCTCTACTCGGCCTGAAGCCTCTCTTCAGCCGGATGCCTCTACTCAGCAATGATGAACTGATCCAGCCCGACGATCCCTATTAGGCCCAGTTGACTCGATGCCCGCTGTTGATCCAGAATTTGATCCCGGTACCTGAGCCCAGTGCCCGCTGTCGTGCAATTGACTCAGAGCCCGCTGTTCATACCTGGTACCCCGGTGCCCACTGCCTTGCCAGATGACGCGGTGCCCGCTGGCAAGCCAAATGACCTGATACCTGGTGACTCCGTTTGATGCCCGCTGTCGAGCGCCAGACAATCCGATACATGATGACTCGGAGCCCACTGTCGTGCCTGTTGACTCGGAGCCCACTGTCTCTTGCCAGGACGACTCGGTGCCCGCAGTCTTGCCAGACGTACCTCGGTGCCGCAGTCTTGCCAGACGACTCGATGCCCGCTGTTCGCCAGTCGACTCGATGGGACCCGCAGTCTTGCAGCCGACTCGTATGCCCGCAGTCTTGCCAGAACGACTCGATGCCCGCAGTCTTGCCAGACGACTCGATGCCCGCAGTCCTTGCCAGACGACTCGGATGCCCGCACGGTCTTGCCAGACGACTCGGTGCCCGCAGTCTTGCCAGACGACTCGGTGCCCGCTGTTATCGCCCAGGTTGACTCGATGCCCGCTGTTCCGCAGTTGACTCGATGCCGCTGTTCCGCCAAGTTGACCTCGAATGCCGCTGTTCCGCCCAGTTGACTCGATGCTCGCTGTTCGCCAGTTGACTCGGATGCCCGCAGCTCTTGCCAGACGACTCGGTTGCCCGCAGTCTTGCAGACGACTCGCCGGTGCCGACGCAGTCTTTGCCAGACGACTTCGATGCCCGCTGTTCCGCCAGTTGACTCGATGCCCGCAGTCTTGCCAGAAAACTCGATGCCCGCAGTCTTGGCCAGACGACTCGATGCCCGCAGTCTTGCCAGACGACTCGTGTGCCCGCAGTCTTGCCAGACGACTCTGGTGCCCGCAGTCTTGCCACGACGACTCGGTGCGCCTGCGCACTGTCGCCTCGCTGGTGACTCGGTGCCCGCCGCTTCGTGGGGCCCGAGACCTGTCGCTCTCACCATGGGGCCCGAGACTGTCGCTCCCACCTGGGGGTCCGGCGCCCGCCGACTCCGCTTGGGGGCCCGAGACCTGTCGCTCCACCCTGGGGGGCCCGAGACCTGTCGCTCCACCTGGGGGTCCGGGCGCCCGCCGCTCCGCCTGAGGTCCCGAGACCTTGTCGCTCAACGCTGGGGGTCCGGCGCACCGCCGCTCCGCCTGAGGGGCCCGAGTACCTGTACGCTCCGCCTGGAGGGTCCGGCGCCGCCGCGTCCCGCATGAGGGCCCGAAGACCTGTCAGCTTCCGCCCTGGGGGTATCGGCGCCCGCCCGCTCCGCCTGGAGGCCCGAGAACCTGTTCGCTCCGCCTGGGGGGTCCGGCGCCCGACCGCTCCGCCTGGGGGGTCCGGGCGCCCGCGCTCCGCCTGAGGGCCCGAGGACCTGTCGCTCCACCTGGGGGTACGGCGCCCGCCGCGTCCGCCTGAGGGCCCGAGACCTGTCGCCTCCACTTGGGGGTCCGGCGCCGCCGCGTCCGCCCACCGGAGGGCCCGACGCCTGTCGCCCCTCCTGGGGGCCCGAACGCCTGTCGCCCCTAGGGGGGCCGGTGCCTGCTGCTACGCCCGGGGGCCGGTGCTGCTGCTACCGCCCGGGGGCCCGGTGCTGCTGCCCCGCCTGGTGGCCCGCTGCTGCTGCTTGCCTGGTAATCCGATTGTGCCTCTTGCACGGAGTCCTGCCCGATGTGCCATACTGCCCTGGAGTCGCCGATTGTGCCTCTGCCCGGGATGGTCCCTGCCCGGTGATTGCCTTGCCCGGAGTCCTGCACGGTGTGCCTCTGCAGGAGTCCTCTTGCCCGGTGTGCCTCTGCCCGGAGCCTGCCCGGGGTTGCCTTGCCCGGAGTCCAGCCCGGTGTGCCTCTGCCGGAGTCCTGCCCGGTTGTGCCCCCTGCCAGGTGTTGCCGCTGCCCGGAGTCCTGCCAGTGTGCCAGTCTTTGGATATTCCCCCCAGTTTTCCCAAAAAGCCGGGCGGTGGAACATTTTGCCCAGCTAGGGGTGTTTGGGGGCGCCTGAAAGGGCCCCTCCTTGGGGGGGGGTACTGTCAGGGAAAGGCTAGCCACCCAAAAGTGGGAAATCCCTGCCTTTTTTATTGCAATTTCCAAAGGGGTTGGGCCCGCGGGTTTTCTCCCAGCAATCAAAAACTTTAACTTTGCAGCCCGTAAAACCTGGAACTGATTATGCTGGGGGGTTTTTTAAGGGATGGCCCCAAATTTTCAGATCTGCCTTGGTGTTGTGTTTCTCTTGGGCCCTGTATCCTTTCCTGCTCTCTGGGTTTCCCGTCTGATTCTCTGCTACCTTTTTTTGATTTTCCCTGGCCCTTTTGGCTGACCCAGCCTCCGGGCCGGCCCTCTGTACTACGCTGTTTTTACCTGTTCTGATCCCTGGCTTGTGACCCCCGACCATCCCCCCGCCCGACCCTCTGTACTAAAAGCGGGTAGTACCTGCTGAACCTGGCCCGTGAACCCGACCAAACTCCGCTTGCTCCCCCCCGAAAACCCACCTGCCCCCCAAATTGATATTGACCCGGCCCCGCCTGAAAACGTTTTCTTTTATTTCTGTTAAAAAGTGGGTGGTTGGTTTTTGGTTTTTTTGCACTGTAATAAGTTTAGTATTGCACTGCGTTTATGTTTTTATTGTTAGTGTTAATAAAATTTTATTGTTTATAACATATCTGAGGTCTGGTTTTCCCCGGCCCCACCACACACCCCCTGGGCCCAACACCTGGGGGGCCCGGACAGGGCCCCTACTGACCCCCGGGCCCCCGGGCTGAGCCCGAGTGCTCAAATGGTTTAAAATCCCCCCTGCCGGGAAAACCGAACGAGGGAGAGAAGAGGTGGGCGGTTTTATGGGAAGGAGCAAACCAGCAGGTGTAAGGGGGTCTAGTTTTCTGTACTCTACTCAGTCTTTTCAACCCGGGGCCTTGGGTTTCTTCAGGGGGGCCTTGAGGTTTCTTCAGGGGGGGTTGGGTTTTTTCCCGGGGTGCCTTGAGGGGTTTTTTTTAGGGGGGGCCTTGAGGTTTCTTCAGGGGGCCTTTAGGTTTTTTAGGGGTTCCCCTTGGGGTTTTCCGGGGGTTCCCTTGGGGTTTTCTCAGGGTGCCTTGGGGTTTTTTCGGGGGTGCCTGGGGTTTCTTCGGGGGTGCCTTGGGGTTTTTCTTCAGGGGTGCCTGGCAAAGTCAAAAAAAATTGCCCAAAACTTGTATACCACCACGGTAACAACCGGGCCTTTTATTTTACACAAAGCCACGGGTTTTCAGTGCACCATTAGACCTTCACCCCGCCGCGCCTGAAAACCCAAATACATCATCATTGATAAGGAGGATGTCACGCTGCAACCACCTAGTTTGACCCTCCCTTTCCTTCTCTTCGGCGGGTCACATTACTCCGAGGGAAAAAAACCCAGGGAGAAGAGAAACAGGGGAAAACTAGTCTTTTCCCCTTTTGGGGTGCAAAAGTGTTTTGTTTTTGGAAAATAAACCCACCCCCTTTTTCCAATGTGGGGATGTTGCGGTCAGAAAGTTTTTTCACATTTTAAATGGGGTCCCCTTTTAAAAATTTATGGAAAACCTTAGGCCCCCCCTTTTAGAATGGGGCCTCGGGACTTCCATCATTTTAAGGGGTGCCTTGGCCATGTCCATAAATTTAAAGGGTGCCTTGACTAAAAAAAAAGTTGAGAAACACGCACACACATCCCCAACTAAGACCACGACGTTAGATGTTAAATGGAACTCGCCTGCAATGTTAGTGAAGAAAAAGGGTTAGACAACGGGCTGCCGTAACGAGGGCGCCTTGTAATTTCCAAGCATGCACTTCAGACCCTTTTTTAGTCCCCAATAAAAAGACCAGAACTTTAGATAGTCCCAATTGCTGCACTTCAGGTCTCAGATCACCAATTATCCCTTCAAACATCAATAAACCAATGATGCCCTTCAACCAAAATCACAATGAAGCTTTCAGCCCCTCAACACCATTCATGCCCTTCAGACCTTGGTAACCAAATGCTCCCCTTAACCCTCAAATCAGCAATGATGCCCTTAAGACCCTTAAACAGCCATTGCATTTTGCCCTTAGAACTCAGAATTTTCCCAGCCCAATGCATGCCCTTTCAAACTCACAGCCATGCATGCCCTTCAACCCAAGATAGCCAATGCATGCCCTTCAACTCAATCAGCCAAGCATCCCTTTAAGACCTCAGAAAAAACATGCACCCTTCAAAATTTCAATCGCCATTGCACCCCTTCAACCCTAAATACCATTGCATGCCCTTTCAAAATCAATCACCAAAAGCATCCCCAACCCAAATCACCCATTGCACCCCTTTAGCCCTAGATCACCATGAAAGCCCTCGGACCTCAAATCACCATGCATGCCCTAAACCCTTTCCGACACCAATGCAGCCCTTCAGACCTCAACAGCCAATCATGCCCTTCAACCTCAATCACCCAAATGCATTCCCCTTCAGATTTTTAATCCCTTTTCAATCCCCTTCGATCCAAAATCAGCCATGCAGCCCTCAACCTCAGATCAGCCAAATGCATCCCTTAAACCCTCAGATCACCAAAGCATGCCTTAAACCTCAATCACCATGCATGCCCTTCAACCTCAAATCACCCAAAACTGCCCTTTTAAAACCTCGTCACCAATGCATCCCCTTCGGGACCTCAATCACCTCATCCCTTTTCTAACCTCAAAAACACCAATCTTTGCCCCCAACCTCAATCACCATCCTGCCCTTCGAGCTGCACTGACAAAAACACCGCCCTTCCCTGATTATGCAAAGGTTCATTTTCCTCCTAAAAGGGTATGGACTTTTATCTTGTAGATGAACCCTTTATTGGGATCCTTTTAAATGATTTTTTTCATACCAACGTTTTCTAAACGTATTTTTTTAGATTTCCTTGAATTCCCTGAATAAAAAACACCCGCAATTTTTGTAGCCATGCACTTTAAATGCGTTGGGCTCACAGCAGATTCCTTGATCTTTAATAATTTTTTTTTTTTTTTCTGGGAGTTTTACACGGACTCATTTGGGAAAAAGCGCTTTTCTCATCATTCAGGGGCCCCCTTGAACATGGGGTTTTAAAAAGCAGATTTTCTTTAAGACCAAAACGATGTGACGAAACCCCAAATAAAAAAAGGGCTAACACAGGGATATCCCCACTGACCCAAAGATGAATCCACTGTGCGCTTTTCCCTTCACTGTCCAGTCACAGGTGGTCCTCGTCAGGATTCGAGGGAAAATGATTTGAATGATGGGGGCATATTGCAAAAAAAGGTAAAACCTTTCTGACCAATTCAATGCAGGGTGAATAGAGCGGAGTGACCGAAAATGAATCATCACCGGCTGCTTTTCCTTTTACTGCCCAGTCACATTTGGGCCTCGTCTGGATTCAGAGGGAAATGGTTGAATGATGGTGGGCATATGGGAAAAAAAGTATATCCCCTACTAACAGTTTTGACACAGGGTGAAAGACGGAGTGACCCAAAAGTGAGATCATCACCATGCTGCTTTTTTCTTTTCACTGTCCATCAGGGGGGGCCTCGTCCGGGATTTAAGAAAGTGGGTTGAGTGATGGTGGGCACAGTGGCAGAAAACTATATCCCCCACTGACACAGTTCCCAGAAAAGGAAGGGTGCCAAAAGATGAGATCATCACGTGGCCCTTTTTTTCCCTTTTTCGTCCAGTCACAGGTTGGGGCCCTTTTGTCGGGATCAGAGAAAGGGGGTTGAAATTGATGGGGGGCATCGGGTGGGGCAAAAAAAAGGGATAAACCTTTTACCCGACACAAGGGTTCAAAAAAGCGCTGAATAGAGCGATGGACCCAAAAAAATGAGATATCACCGTGCTTTTTTTCCCTTTTACTGCCCAGTCAAAAGTTTTGGGGCCATCCCGTCTGGGATTAAGAGGAAGTTGGGTTAGTTGATTTGGGGCATCATGGGAGA